TTGATTTTTTACAGAGAGGAAGGGAGAGGGATAGTTAGAAACATCGATGAGAGAGAAACATCGATCAGCCGCCTCCTGCACACCCCCCACTGGGGATGTGCCTGCAACCCAGGCACATGCCCTTGACCAGAATCGAACCTGGGACCTTCCAGTCCCCAGGCCGACGCTCTATCCAGTGAGCCAAACCGGTTAGGGCCGTTTAACATTTCTTGAAGACATGAGGAATTTAATTGATGTCGAACAGCCTTTCTGGATAAACCCAACAAATATTTTGGTTTTCTGGAGGGGACAAACAAACAAAAAAAACCCAAACCAAAAAAATACTTCTTGGTCTGAATTATGGCAACGCGTAGCTGGCAGCTGTCCTGGCTTTTTTGCACATGTGCTGTCCGGGTAAGCTAGCAGACTGCGTGCGCTCCGCACAGCGACCAGGGACACTTAACTTTCATGCAATAATAATGAAACAGGAGGCCTGGATTTTTTTTTGTGTGTGTGGATTGTTTGTTTCTCCTGGGACTCTTTCTCACTTGAGTGACCTTGCACAGATCTATCCCCTCCCTCATTTCCATATGTCCGTGTCAGGGTAACGTGGACCACTCAGATGCTTTCTAAGGTCTCCAGATGACAAACAGCCCCCTTCGTCACTGAAATGCATCTCCTTCGCTCTCCATCCTATGGGTTGTCTGCATGGCACTTGTACTGAAAACCTTCGCACACAGTTGTCAACACCATCTGCGGAGGGTCCACATCTTCCAGGCCCATGAACTGATGACGGGGATGACTTGAGCTGTGCAAAGTCTGTTCCCCGCGTCACTGAGAACTGCAAAATGTAGTAATCCCTAAAACACACGTTCTTGCTTCCTGCCGCCTCTAAACGATGCAGGAGACGCTGACATCGTATTGTACCCCGATGGGGCATCGCCACCCAGCACGACTGACACGGGGCGAGGGCTCAGCCGGCCGGGGAGACCGGCTGCGGGACGGGCAGGCAGGCCCCGGTGCAGGGAGCGGGCCACATTGTTGCAGAGGCTGACGGACCACAGCCATCTTGCATCAGGCGCCGGCCCGGCAAGACGGCGAGCCCGACCCCCACGGCCTG